TGCCATTAGCGTGTTTTCTAAGAAAAAGATCTTAAAAAAAAAACCAAAACAAAACTCCCAAAAAAAGACAAGGAAAAAAAAAGTGACAACTCAGACCATTATTTTATATAAGTAAATTACCCAAGTGGTATTACAAATATGTGCAATTTTTTATGTAGATAATTTGTTTGTTGCACAACATTCCCTTTATTGCCAACACAGATACTGGGTGAAGCATGTCAAGGTAACCACTGCTAGGGAAACACACCTGAATATCCGTCCTAAAGATTTAGAGCCAGGACTTTCCAAGTTATAATCTTAGTAGTGGAATTTGCTTACTCTATGGCCTTTAGAAAGTTACATTCTCCCTCCCACAGCTTACTGTCAATCATAATGAAAGTCCTTCACAGTGATGATGTTGCTTATTCTGCTGCTGCTGCAAAGTAAAGTGCTGTAGCTAAATCAGACAACTGCTGCAAGAGGGGGACCATTATCCTTCATAAAACTGCATCTTTATGCAACAACAACAAAAAAGTTTTCTTTTTATCACGTTCCTCAAAAATACTAAGAGCAGTAGCCACATCACCACAATCATCACTGAATTTAAATCCTCTGCAGTATGGCACTCCAAGTTAGAGTGAAGTTATTTTGTTTATGCTGAAATCAGAACTTTATTTAGAATTATTAGACAATACAGGGTGGTTTGGGGTTTTTTTAAGTCTGCCTTCACAAACAAGTTCTATGTTAAAAAGCACAAAATTTCAAATACAACAAAAGCATTATTCATTTATTAGCCTTCCTGAAGAAAAATGACCTAAAAATTTAAATTGCAATCTCGTAACTAGAATGATCACCTAATGTAGTTACTACTAATGTATCACATATATAATACTCCAGTGTCACTCTTGTTATAATGTCCACTTATCTTAATTAAGATTAACTAACTTAATCAGTTTTTTGGAAACTTGTTTCCCTCTTGACATGGAAGGCAAGGAGATTAATTTTAATTCATGCATGACAATAATCAAATTTCAGTACTTAAGAAACGTACCAAATAATTACACACCAATTAACCTTTGTCTTTTTACATACTGCCTAAAGACCGGTAGGGGCAGCCTATTTCAGTATGGTTTTCTGGACAAACCTGATCACCTAAGAATGTAAAGCTTCTCCCTTTCATTTTTGGCATACAGAAGAGAAGTCGTATCTTGTGCAGTCCAGTGCCTTGGTGAACAACTTTTTGTATTTGAAGAAGCAGCTTTTGGCTTTGCCACAAATAACATATTCAAATGAAGCTGTTTCAAGATGAAATGGTTTGCCAATGGAAACAGTGATATGTAAATTGTGCATATATAAAAGACGTCTGGAAAAAAATTCTGTGCTTCCTACATAAAATGGTACTAATTGCTAATGCAAGTTACTCATCCAATAAACATGCCTACTTGCTATTCCATTTATTTTTCAGATTCAGGATGACTGGAAATACGTTGCCATGGTAATCGATCGTATTTTTCTGTGGGTTTTCATCCTGGTATGTATTCTAGGAACAGCAGGATTGTTTTTACAACCTTTGATGGCTGGAGACGAAATGTAAAGATTAAACAGTATGTTGTGAAATCAAATAAAACTGTTGCCAACCAACTCTGCATCCCCACCCCAACACCTGATGTGTATGTGCAGCAGAATAACGATCTCTCTTGGCCTCAACTCTGCTTGACCAAGAAGGCTTTATTAAAAAAGTGGAAAAAATAAAATTTGAACATTTATGACAGCTAATCTCAACGTAATATGAGCTATGCTTGACAGCTACTTTTTGCAGTAACTGGAAAAGGTGTAGGCAGTACACTAGACTTCACAGGAATGGTTTCAGAATGGGTTGATAAAGAAATGGAAAATTACATGAATATTCGGAAAGTCAAGACAGGTTGAATACTCTGAGCTACTAGACTTGTTTCCACGATTCTGATGCCAAGTCTCTTCAGACCATGACAGGATCTTCTGGGAGTAAGTTCAGAGTGAGTTCAGTGAATGCCCTCACGAGGATGAAATGGTTTAGGAAGCATACATACCGAGTTGCTAGAATGCCAACATTGCCACCTGGTGTATAAACAGCCTCAAACAGCGTGAGGAAAGGGCCATGGGCAGGTTTATCACAAAAGGAAAACAAACAGGTAAATAATAGATGATGGAAATAAAGCAGCCATAATGTAAACTCTGTGCATCCCCATATTTCAACGTGTGAGAAGACTGGCAGAAAAAAACATCGAGCTATTCAAACCTGATAATGTTTAAAACTGTGTGAAAGTAAAACACACACTAAGATGCAGTCTGCAGGTTACACAAAGGATAAAAATACTTTGACAGGATAGTTTGGATACAGAAGCATCCTGCTACAGCGAAGTGTTTTATGACAAGGGAAGGCAGGTAGATACAAAATAGTCCTGTAAAGTATGCTAAAATTGCTTCTTAGGCACACACTTTCACTTTGTTTCAATCAGTAACTGGAGATCATTTAAGAGCATGAATAAAGAATGCAACAAAATACTGTAACAAGAAAATATTTTGTAAATATAGGAACTGTTCTCTCTGTACCAAACTGGAAACTTTCTGGAAATACAGTGTATCAAGTGATGTAACATTTACAAAAATAAAGAGAATCAAGCTGTTGAAAATAGTGCTTTTTTATTATTATTATTTATTTTGACCAAGTGACAAAAAACTATATAAGGTAGCATTAGCTACAGTTCAACACATTCAGAAACAAGTTATATAAGTAAAGGTCCGTTCTTCCAAGTCCATTAAGATTGTTTTGCTTCAGACACACCTGATGATAAACTGAAGCCCCCAAGGATTCCAGTGTCAGCTATCTTATCTGTATTTATCACGATCAGATTACAGAAGTGACTAAAAGAAATTCACGCTTTCGCAAAAATTGTGAGTTGCTAGTATAGAGACTGGGACTCCATTAGCCAAGATGTTGCAAATCAATCACCTTATGATTTCTTCGAGCAGTCTATGGTCATCATTTAACAAGGGGAAAGAGATGAGGTGGGGAGTTAAAAAAAATAACATATATAGCTAATCTATAGTTTTACTTACTTTGCTTTCTGTTCATGTAAGAGCAAACTTCAGTAACCCAAATTCAAGGAGGACTATGAAACGAAATTTTGCATTTGAAGAGGAAATAAGGTATCTATTAAAGTATTCCTGCAACTTCCACATATAGTCACTGATGCATCGTTTCATCTTAGTAATACTGGAGAAAGTTAAAATTATGATATTATTGGATTAAATCAGATAATATTTGCAAATTCACCTTTAAAATTAATTATTATAGGATTAGAGGAAATATGGATATCCCATGCCAGATGTAATTGTATAACTGAAGAGGAAGAGCAACTCCCTTCACAATCAGATTTATTTATGAATTTATATTTTTAAAAAAAAAGAAAAAAAAATCCTCACTGGTATCATTTCCCTGCCTGTGAGCCTTAAAAAGCTACACAAAGCCAAGAACATCCTACAAATGAAAACAATTTGAAATAAATATGCAATTACATGTAAATTATGACATAAGCAATCAGTATAATAATCAGTACAGTGCCAAACACTGCTATTCTAAAGGAGATAGAGAGAAGGGGGTAAAAAAAAATAGTATCCGTTTTCCAAATTCAAAACCACTATAAAAACTTACATTATCAAAGATACCACAATTTACCTTAAACTTTTCACCTAAATATATTATTATTAATGCAGTAACTTAATGAAATAAAAACTCTAGCTTGGTATTACTGTAGTAGCCCTGCAGGATGCAACTTTATTATGAAGTACGCTGACAAACTCTGGTGTAGGAAAATCCCTGTCTATTTTAGAGTCCCTTACAGAAATAAAGCTTTTAAGAAAGCTGGCATTGGAATGAATGTAAGGAATTTAAATCAGTATTTAAAGGATGTATTTTACTGGAATAATTTAAAAGTTGCAAGTCAGTTTTCAACACTCTCAGGAAAAAAAAGTGTGGAAAGCTGTAAGTCCTCACCGCTCAGTCACATCTGATTCTATAAGTGAGAGAACCTATTAAAGGTAGCTTTCTAAGACTGGTTTAACAAATGCGTGAAAATTTAATCATCTGTATTTGGTTACACAGCATCATAATTTTCAACCCGCTGCCTTCAGAAAAGCATTCCTCAAATTCCTTCTACCTGTACTCAAAAACTTCATTCTGAGTAACACACGAAGGCAGGACACTACTAGCACGTTTGCAACTAACATTCTGTATCAAATTCTTCATCAAGAATAAAGGAATCTCAATGTTCAACTTGGGTATTTATTTAATTGTCTTTGCCTTCCCTTCCATAGCTGATACAGAGATATCAATACACGTGTGTCCTGTAGCCATTTTAAGGCTTAATGTATTAAATACTCATGTCAGTATGACAGAATTATCAAGGTTTTAACTTTAGCAGCAAATTCCACTGAAAATTTATAAAGGCAAAACACAGCCAAATCGCTATTTTTACTTGTGTGTTGAATATACAGGAAGTTTAACTAGTATTTTTATTATTTAGACACATTCAAGAGAGCTGATAAAAATTTTCCTTTGCATACTATAGTAAATTGAAATAAGCAACCCTACTGTGTAAATATCTGCAAATATTTAATAGTCAATGTAATAATTTATACAGTAATTTAATAATTGGACTACAGTGATCATCATTAAAAATTTTTAATCCTTCTATTTCACAGTAGGTGTCAGTGTATGCTTTTTTGACATATTACACATACAAGTGCTTGAGAAGGTCCTTTCAAGTCTGATCTGATTTAGAAGCAACTTAGTAGACTGGCAACACGCAAATTGACTTCTATGTGTCCTAGGGATGGCATGCTTTAATACAAACAGAGTCTTCTGGTTCAAGACTGTTTTTTAGTCTATCAGAAACATGCCTACAAAGAACGTGCATGGAAACAGAACTACTGCAAAGCTCTTTAGAGCCGCACTAGCAGGAGACAGATCTAAAAATATTTCATGCATTTGTACTGCCTATATGTGTAGGTACTATTATACTTGCCCATTTATGAATAACAGGAATAAATAACACAAGTGATCCAATTATTGAAACCAGAAGAAAAGTCCATAAGAACATTCGATCAAGCACCTGAGCAATAAATTTCCAGTCTTCAACAACCTAAAAAAAAAGAGCATAAGAGTTGTTTAGTATGTGTGAGAACAGGTAAAAATACAGTACCAAACACTGCAATTCTTAATCACTTTACAGTACACTTTTTATTTTTCTCTCCAATCAGGTCCATTTGGTAACTCCCTTTAATAACTTATTATAATTACACTAAGAGCTAGAATAGGAACAAACTTCCCTCGATGAAGATCGGTAAGCTATATAGATCAATACTAGATTTTAATGCAGAAACTGACCCTGTCAAGCACTGAACATCCTCAACTAGAGAGACTAAATCAGTATGCAATTTTCTCACATCCTGCAGGATTTAGGATTCATGGCTCATCATAAAATGGAATTCCCAGGCAGGAGACAGAAGCAAAAGTTCGTAGTCAAAAAAAAAAAACAAACCAAAACCCAAAAAAACCAAAACCACAAAACAACAAACGCACACACTCCCCCAAGCCAAAAACAAACAAACAAACCAAAACTAAAAAAAAATTCATAGCAGACAGCAGTTGTTGTGTTACATACATCCGAAAGCTGTGAAGTTACTGCTGCACAGAATTATACACTAGGAAAAATATCCACAGTACTTTCCAGACTATCTTCCTTTTTGACAGGGTTATTCTTATCTATACACAGTTTTGCAAGCATAGCAGATGTAATTGTGTGAGCAAATTAAAACCTTGCCAAACAATTGTCTTTGATTTGAACTGGAGCTATCCACCTTTCCCAAGCCTATTGCTTCTGCAGAAGTAAGGCTACAGCGGCAATAGCTGTGTAGTTTTTATTAGCAACTTTTTGCAATTAAAGCTTGCATTCTCTGGAGCCCAAGTAATAAAATACAAGTGAATCTCCGGTCAGCTGTATTTTAATTTCTGAGGCTTAGAGTCACAACATCATCACACTTGAAAAACAAAATACTCTTGTCACTCACAGTCAAATAGAACAAGTTCAGTAAGAGAAAGAAAACCAACCCTTAACTTACAGGAAATTATGTATTTAATAGCAAGCTATTCTATTTGTGTGTTCAGACAACTCAGGGGTATTATATGCCGTTCTAACAGTATAGTACATACACTTCTTCAAAATCTAGGCTGGATCCCTTGTGATAATGTCAGCGTCGAGTCCTGAGAAGGTGCATTAGAGGAGTTAGCTTACACCTAGGCTAGCATGCGAGAACATGCTGTCAGCAACCAGCAGCTTAGGAAGACAGTCATTTCTGAGTAAACTGAAAGAATCTCAGACCTTGCCATCAGAAACAGACAGCAGTATCACGAGACCACACAACAAACTTCTATATTTCTATGCTAGCCTGAAAATAGCATTTAAGTCTCTGATGTTCCAATGGTGCTAGTTTAAAAAGCACATAAAGAAAATAGATTCATAATGCTCTTACCTAAATGATGTTAATATCCATCAAGGATATTCCAGAGTGCAAATGTACAGACTGAAAAAAAAAGCCTTTGACATCTTTTGATACAATTTAGAGACAAATAATAATAAGGCTACAAAAGAACACTCAAGCAGTCACCTAGTCCATGTTCAATCTCAGCACAAAAGTACCAACATATGGCTACAGCTTGTATTTAAAGTAAAGTAAGTTAGGGCATTAAAAATTGTTTTTATTTGGAATTGAAAGCTGGAAATTAAGGCTCAGCAGTATTTATTCTGAAAATGTAAGATAAATGCATTTTTCAGATAGCCTTCAGGTACAGCATTAAAATGAAAAATACCTGCTTCTCTCATCATGGAAATAACATCCAGCTGCACTGTAGGGAACAGTTATGGTATACGCTCTTGTAACAGACAAGTATTTCTGAAAATGTGCAATTAACAACATGAACTTACTTCTAGAAAAAAAGCGAAAGACTTCAAAGAACCCACAGACCTTATTGTGTCAGCCCAATATCTACAAGAACTCTCAGTAGTGTACCATACTTGCACTTCTTTCCAGTGGAAACAATTACATGGCTTCCCGTGAAGTACAAAAACTGGAAATCCCATAGCACATACTTCACATGCAACTGCTTAGTAAACCGTTACTTTGTTTTCTGATTTCCAGTTTTACAAAATCCGAGTAACATGACCAATACACCCACCTCACGAACTTCATTCTCCTTCATAACATGCCTTGTAATATATCGGACAGAATCTAGAGCTGCTTCCAAGGTGTTCCTAGATGATTCTGATCCATTCATGTTTCCTGCTTCCTCCTTCTGAGCAAAGTATCTATCTACGTGACTTCTCATGCAAAGCAGCTTGGGAAGTTTGTGAAGAAATATCTTGCGAACCCATGGTGCCATAGCATTGTGTGTAGACGAAGAGCGATGATGAATATTGATAGCAAAGACAGTTATCACAATGGACAAAGTAACAAATATCATAGTAAACACCAAGTACTCGCCTATAAGTGGGATAACTTTAGAAGACGATGGAATAATCTCTTCAATAACAAGAAGAAAAACAGTCAAAGATACCAGTACTGAAGTGCAAAGTGAAATTTTTTCACCTTCATTTGAAGGAAGATAGAAGACAAGGACAGTTAGAAATGAAAGCCCAATACAAGGAATAATGAGAAACAATGTGTAAAAAAGTGGCAAACGTCTAATTATAAATGAGTACGTAACAAAAGGATACCAGCAGCATCCATCAGTCCTGTTTCCTTTGCTCCCTGTTGCAGTCACTATTTCCCATTCTCCATTATCAAAAAAGTCTCTTTTGTCTACATCATAATCTTCAAGAATTATATCAACCTGGGAGCCATCGTAAGTCCAGGAACCAAATTTCATAGAGCAATTTTGGAGGTCAAAGGGGAAGAAGGTTACATCAATAGTACAAGAACTTTTGTAGTTTGCTGGTGGAGTCCAAGCAATGGTTCCATCATATTTCACCACAGTTTTCGTAGACGTTCCCTCAAAACGTCCGTCCGCACTGAAAGAAAAGAGACAAATGCTTGCAATTACAATGGGGGCTGTATGGGGTGTGGGTGTGTGTTTTTAAATAAACCAAACTTGAATTTACAATCACTGCAACAGCCTTTTTTCCTGATTTAGCAAGTCAGGAAATGTAAAAGCATTGTATATGCACCTGAGTTCAGCAGAAAGGTTAATTCCGAAGTTATTGCTTCTGAGATCTGTGAAGTCTCAAAAAAAAAAAAAAAAAAAAAAAAATCTTAAAGTTGAGTGTACTGCATTTTAAATCCGTGGTGAATATTACTTACAACAGTATGAATTAGTTGCTTTCCACCCATCACTCCACACTATTTGTTTCCACCCAACACTGTGCAAGACACTGCTTTCCAATTAAAAAAAGAGTTTACAGGAAGAAGTGGAAATAAACTTTTCCAAGAGACAAGAAATTCCATACAGAAGCAAAGCAAAACATTTAAGAATTTAACATGGCCATAAAACCCATTTGCATTCAGAGGCACAATTCTTCCACACATTGTTAGCTCTATTAAATGTACACGCATAATCTAACCAACGAGCCTCCTAGAAGCAGGTTGGATTGTAAAGTTAGAAAGTAAATGTATTTTATATGAAAAGACTAAAATCTTACTTGTCATACAACACGATATCTGGAATCCAAATAGAATCTGATGGAACACGAATAGATGTTATTCCAGCATAATCTTCAGGATTCCACCTTAATTTTGCATCTATCCATTCCTGTGGATATGCGAGATGTAAAAGTCATTACTGTTGTGAAGCTGATTTAAGCAGGGCAAGACTGGATGAAAATAGATAAAAAGGCAGTTAAAAAAAAAAAAAAATCAAACTGGCTGCTAAAATTTGCATACAACCATGAATTTGCTGAATAGACATGTATTTAACTCACCCAATACTTGTTTTCTGTTATAAGAGCCACTTGACAGTATTTCTGTACAGAACTTCAGGTACTAAAAGCCTTTTTCAGATCATGTATATATGTATTATAACGTACAGACCATTAAATTTTGAAAAGGTTTGTTCTGAATGAGTATCGATTGCTTTGGAAGCTGATCAGAAGCAATTTAAACACTTTCATCACAAAAAAAAAAAAAATCATGCTGCAATTCTCAAAAGATAGTCATTCCTGTGTCTACCAGCAACACCAAAAGTAGCAAAAGCATAGTAGTACTTTGTTAATTCTTTACTTGAACTAGAAGTTCAGGAGGAAAAAAAGCAAGTTACTAAGAATTCACTATCACATAGAATTGTAAATACATATTCAGGTCAGTTATTATCTTATTTGAACTAGTGCAACTGCAAAAAGGTCTGCAGAACTTGTGTTATCATCAACATATTGCCACCTCATACTTGCAGGGTAGTCTCAAAGTTTTCCTGAAAAGAAAAACTTTGCCTGAAATTACAGTTACTGGAGAAGAAGGGAATGGGAAGCAACAGGAGAAAAAGTAAGTATAATCAGAGTCTGCAAACATTCTTCAAAGTTAAACCAAGAATGATTCGTGAGCAGAATTTCCCATGTTAATAGTGGCCATTAAGCTTAGCTTGAGGCTTTTCCCTGTCCATCAACAGACGTTCTTATGAGGAAAAAGTAGCTCTCTATAGCAAACATATACAACTCTGAAATTCTTCAGAGATCCGATAATCTCTAACACCCCACAAGACAAAGATCTTCAAACTATTACACAAAAGACTACACAAACCCATACTTTTCTTAACATAGTGTTTTAAAGAAAACTTCTGTACGGAAGCAGTAACTTTTATGGCTGGATACACACACTTTGGTATATTAAATCGCCATGTAATGCCATATCAGATTTCTTTTATTTAAGTAAATTTTTTAAATTTAACTCTTTTTTTGTTTTTTTTTAAGAGCTTTGTAACAATTAATCCTTTAAAACATTTCCAAGGACATTTTTTAAACATACTACATAAAATAAAAATTCATGAAACAACTAAGTTTTTTTGAATACATAATTAATTTGGAAAGTTTCTTCCAACTTTTGACTTGCAGTTATGAAACTTCAGAATTTTTTATTATTTTACACATACCTGTTTCAACCAGACATTCGTTGTCATCAATTGATTCTTCTCATCCTATAAAAATAAAGCTTATTTTTCGAAAAAAAAAACCAACTCTGCAGAGTACATTCACAGTTACTGACTGCTTTAGTTTACAGAGGTCTGTAATTTAAAATACAAAACACACTTCTAAAAGCATTCCAGTCACTGATAGGTATGTTTATATAGGAACTTTTTTAACATACAATTCTGACTTTCGATTATTTAACTGTTAAAAGTGGTATTTTTCCTTTGTTTCTTTCCTCCCTCTGATTTTTTTATTTGACTGTATTTTATGCAGTCTTACTGTTTTTCTATGGAAACATAAAAGAATAGCCAACACGTGGAAGAAAAACTCCTCTTATAAACAGTGAATTCCATTTGAAAAAAATATTCTGAAGTGAGTATGGGGGGGAGGGAATCTGGTTGATCTTGTTTACATCACAGGTAATGCCAAGAGATAATCTTCACTACTATGGAAGTAACATATTTGAAGGCTTAGAGGGTTTTTGCTGCTTAACAGGGAAAAAGAGCAGTATTTGGAAGTGTTTCTGAATTTTACAGAAATGAGATTGATAAAGCTTAAACATATGTGGTTTTTCCATCGAATAAATAAAACACAGTTCCCTACGCTTAAGAATTTCACTCACTTCTCTGTTTTGCTGAGAACTCCACTAAACACAAGAGCCACTTCTCAATCAGTTTGCAATCCCTTCTTCACACCCATATCTACAATGCATTTTTTATTATGCTGACAATAATCTGAGGTTTAATATATTGCAAATATTTTAGCTTAAACACAATTATTTCATATGACACCCTCTTCCAGAATTTTAAGGATTAGGGGGTAAAAAAACCCCAAACTTATTTACTACACTTACCACATCTACTAGCTGAGAGATTGCAAGGCCAAACTTTATTTTTATTGTGTCATTCAAGTGTTCCACTGGACGAACCCATCTTTGATAGTCTTCAAATAAGTGTTTAAACAAACGATCTTCACTTTTAGCAATAAAAGAAGGTTCAGATGTACCTATACAAAAAAAAAGGAATTTATTAACATGGATTTAAATGAACAGTGTACATTTGCATTCCTTTGTCCAAGAGCTACAGCTATGTTTATGCAGAGTTAAATTACTCATCCCCTTTTCTCTGGAAGCATGGCCAAGGTCTTGGAAGCAGACTTCCATAAAACTGCCTGGTGTTATTAGCATCTCCATACCACTATCGCACTTCTAAAATCTATGACTCAAGAACATTAAGATAATTTTAGTAATAATAAAGTCAAAATGCACTTGTATCATTTATCTGGTGCCACGCAATTATGGAAATCCTCTAAACCAGAAAGCTTATCTATGAGGGACTGAAGTCCTATCACTCTAAATTAAGGCGGTACTTGTTAACAAACCTCCATCCACACCATACAGGTCTTCAGTATATTGTGCTCCAGTTTGAAACATCAGTCTCTGCACGTTTTATACATTAAATCTGCTAATGTTTGGTCACATCTACAACGTATGAACTTTGCAGTACTTGTAAGCACTTCTTCCCCACACCATTTTGTACCTTAAGCACATGTGCCAATCTATTTACCAGTCTATTCTCTACCTATTCTAACGTTCTGCTGACCGGAAGGCACCTTCCGAGGTCAGTAATCGTACACATTCTGTTACTTCTTTTTCATCGTCCTCAAGGAGTCCATTCAACGCCTGGAGACCAACCCATGACTTGGAACAGACAAAAATCTTTGTATTGCTTACAACGAAGTGGAAACTAAATGTCTTCTATTGTCTTGTGAGAGAATGGAATACATGGCACAGCTTTGGGAAAAAAAGTACTACAGATGCAGAAACAGCAGGCAGAGTGCAGTCTGGACTTTAAGAGGTATGTAAGCTGTCCTAAAGCACCTCACCAAACCACCGCTGTCCTGTATCTCTGCAAATTCACAAAAAACGAGGTTTTTACCGATGTGGTCTCACTGAAGTGTATCAGTAGAAACTCTGCTACCCAAAAAAAGGCAAAGTTTAAGGTTTCTCCGTTCTGAGAACCCATGCGAAACATGATACACCCTAAATAACAAGAGAAGGACAAACTTGGGGAAGATACAGCGCAAGGGGAGGAAAAAAGGCAAGATCAATGTCTAGCTAAGTAACCCGAGTACAATCAGCTTTCAACAGCCGTGTGAAAGACCTGGAGAAGGCCACCGCCTCAAGAAGCAGCACAAGCTACACACACTGCCTTGAAGGGAATGGCTCCAACAGGGTCTCCAATTCCCAGACAGAAGTCAGAGCAACCACCAGCAGACATGAACATACACTCTAGACAAAGATTTTTACCACTCACCAATGAGATTTAAACTGACTGAAACTACTGCCGAAAAAAGACCTAACAATTATTATACTCAGTTCAAGGGACAGAGTAAACCAAAGCAAGACGTTTACAAGCTTCTCTTTTTAATGCAGATTTAAATTATTATACCATTACATAAATGTATGGCATGAACTCTCTAGAAATGATGTGCTCACTAACAGCATCTATCTAAAGAAAGATATATCAGAAACAGAAAAGCACCACAAAATAGCATAAACAGATTAAAACCAGAGACAGTCATCCATACAAGGAGAGATTTAAAAGATGAACATTATTTTGTTTGGAGAAGAGGTTAATTTAGTGAATGTAACAGAAGTAGTGAATGATACATGCAGAAAAAACACTGATAGTATTAAACATTTCTCATAAAAGCAGGTAAAGGAAACAAAAGCATCAATTAAAAGCAGCATAAACAATTTCTGTCTGAAGCTCATTACTGTAACAATTTGGTGAATCAGAAATCACTAGGCACTGAAGAGGATTAAAATTTTAGAATTGCCCAGGATTACTAAATTGTCAGTTATGTCAGGTAGCATCATACTTGCTTAGGGTATCGGTTCTCATTTCAACACAACCGAAAGATGAGGAGCTGCTGGAGAGAATCCAGCGGAGGGCTACGAGGACGATGAGGGGACTGGAACATCTCTCCTATGAGAAAAGGCTGAGGGAGCTGGGCTTGTTCAGCCTGGAGAAGAGAAGGCTGAGAGGGGACCTTAGAAATGCTTATAAATATCTGCAGGGTGGGGGTCAGGAGGACGGGGCCAGACTCTTTCCAGTGGTGCCCAGCGACACAACAAGGGGCAACGGGCACAAACTGAAGCAGAGGAAGTTCCAGCTGAAGATGAAGAAGAACTTCTTCACTCTGAGGGTGACAGAGCCCTGACCCAGGGCTGCCCAGTCTCCTTCTCTGGAGATATTCCAGACCCGCCTGGACGCGGTCCTGTGCAGCCTACTCCGGGTGACCCTGCTTTGACAGGGGAGTTGGACTGGGTGACCCACAGAGGTCCCTTCCAGCCCCTACCATTCTGTGATTCTGTGAAAACAAAAGCTACCTCAGAATTCAATCAACAGTTCGACGGCTTGCATTTGTTGCAGAGACTTGCTAACACCATTTAAGCCATTAATTTAGACGGACCTAAGCTAGTTCTATGTGACTGCAACCACTGCAGCCCAGACAGCTAAGACAGGCAAGATAAGTTTTTAAGTTCCCTCCCATTCACCAAAGTGCTCCTGTGCCAGCAGCGGCTTTCCGCTGCGCTGCAAAAAGCTGCATGTGTGGATCCTTCAGACAGAACACCTGGAACACTGCAGAGCTCTGTGTCTCACTGCAAGAAAATCCTTTGCCTTCTGCACTGCAGGTTTGGGGCAGTCCAGTAGAATTATTATGACGAACACTAACTGGATTTTCTCTGAAATTTTATAGCAGGAGCAAAAGCAGAAGGTAGCTTAAGGAATAGGATCAGGAAAGTGGGAGCAGCAGAACTCCTTTTCCCTCCAAATCTTACCATACACTACCATGCTGTTGAATGGTTCCTGCTGCAGGCCAAATCAGCATTTGCGTTTTAAGACAGTTCACTCTCCCGCTTCACAAAACCAATATATCAGTTGACAGTCGTATTTCATTCATTCACAAACACTTAGCAACCTACTGTTCTTCCAGATGTATGATTTGTACATGCTCCACAATTTAGTATCCTTCCATTTCAACATTGCTGCCACATGGGTTGTGCAACAGCAAAGAACTGATGGGCAACCTGCCTTGTACCACTGAGCATACCTCAGGTGGATACATGAACACATACACGATGTAAGAATTGCTGCCAGAAAGGATCCAGCAACAGAATGCCATGCACACAAAGCTTCACAGCTTTTAGGTTAAAATACATTTCTTTTTATTGATACCTTAGGTTCAGTGTATCCTCATTAGCCAAGGAATTTTTCTTATTTGTAACACTACACAGATTTACCAACTCCTGCTTTTTACAGACATCCAAATGAATGCTTCCTGAAGACACAACTTCATTTCCCTATTTCTATATCCCCATTTCCTGAATTATGAATGGTTTTGTGTATATTTCAGCCTAATGTTTCATAAATACTTGATTTTTGTATTACAATTAATTACATTTCCCTTTTACAGTTATAACCCTCAAATGAATTTTTTGTACAATTTGAGAACGACTATGCAGCTGGGTATTTTGTCTCCATTAACTGACCTTGAAGCAATGCAGAGGCAAAGCTGCACTTTCACCATCTCTGTGTCCCTGTAAGATGACCTCCTGTACAGCAATACAGCTGCTTCAGGGTACGTGCTGTTTCCAGATTAAGCTACTCTTAAACCAGAGTATCTTCTCTTTAAATTCTGTATTCCCCTGCACTTCCTCAGATAAAGTGTCTCAGAACCACACTGGGACTGCAGGTATGACACAGGTACTTACAATTTAAGCAATGTAGGTCAAAACATTTTCTAATTGATGTAATCAAGTGTTAATGATTTCAGGTTTTCTTTGGATTGCTACTTGGTGCATTTGCAAAAGAGGTCCATGGGAATCACTTTTAAGAAGCCTAATGTTAAGACATAGATTCACAAGTAATACATATTACTAATGCAGATTTATAATCATATACCACTGTAATGAATAAGAACACTATTAAGGACAATAAACATGGCAAAATATCCACACTTTGTAGTTCACATTAGATTCTTTAACAGTGTGCTATCGTAACATATGGACTGTTATTCACAAATCTAACTACTACAAACTACACCACAACTAACAGTTTGCCTACAAACCAGGGGGGTGAACATATACAGTATACCTGCCTTCAGTACACTAATGTACTTATTAAGGTGATACTGTAAATTTTTTAAGTTATGCATTTTACACAGTTTATTACAAAGAAAGCACTTTGAAGTCTAGAAGCACAATGGCAACTGTTTAAATCTTACTCTAAAAACTGTTCAGTGGTCATTTGGGGGGTTTTTTTTTAGTTTTCCATCTTTTCTACAAATTTCTACAGTGAGCATCGGTGCTTTTCCTCCTTTAAGTTTACACTTTTTCCCCAAACTAATCTCGTCACATCACAGTATTTTGGTAGCTGGCAACAATTCTAACTGCAAGTCGTACTTACATTGCAGCAGACAGGAAAGAGTAGAACAAGATCATGTTCACTATTAACTACACAGATCTCTCTCTGCCTAAGCCTCCCTTTACATTGTAAAGAATCTCCCACCACTACCTCATTAAGCAGGAAAGATACGCAATATATTAAGTATAAAATGGAAGTTTCATTTCTGTACTGATTCCCCCCTCCCTTTACAAGGATTGTGAGTCATCCTTTCTGTACGGTCTTCAACCCTTTTGCCTACTTTTCCGTCTACACTTTAGCAATTGTCAAGAATCCAATCACTAACAGTCAAGCGTTTAGCTAACAGTAAGCATTTAGAAAGGTCAAAATCGCCTTCACTAGAAGCCCATGGGCCAAAGCAGGATTACTACCTTTATCCAATTTACTGAACGAAAGTCAGAAAAGCCAGCCATTACATTCTGTATTTCTTTTCTCCCCTGTTTAAAAGATAAAGCCAAAGCCTGTACTTACAAGCACGGAAAAAGTGGCTATTCTTGACCATTTCTTGTTGGTGTTTTTTTTTCAAAT